CCCCTCTCCGCTGCAAGTTTAACTGGCATATATTGGATGCACAGCTGGTTACGCTACCCTCCTACCTTGCTCACTGTTACTCATACGCCTACATACTCGGTGTAGAGGCTATAGTGCATATTATATATATATTATTATTATCACCATCGATATTGCTGCGGCCATCTTAGCATCTGACAATAACTCAGTACTATATGTACGATCCTCGAGCTGGAGATCCACTGCAATTCCCGCCTTGACTCTAGGAGAAACGCAAAAGCAAAGAAAAGCAAAAGCAAAAAAGCGTCCCCTTGGAGGAGCAGAAAAGAGATATAGACGAAGACGAAGAAGAAGCTCTCGCAAAAGTCTCAAACAGCCGAACTGTTTGGTCCTTTTTCTTTTCTTTTCGTCTCTTTGCTTTTTTCCCCCTTCTACTTGCTGTACGGAGTACTGTTAACTAGTTAACTGCGCTGCTCTGTGTCTCCGCCTCCCCCTCTGCCTTTATATACCTGCGTCTCGCCCCCTTTGCTCCGGCCGCCTCTTCTTCTTCTTCTTCCCCGACTGCTTCTGCTTCCTGCTACTACTTCTATTTCTCCAGTCGTCTCGCTGACTGCCGTTCCTTTCTTCTGCTTTCACTCAATTGCTGTTTAATACTTTTCTTATATACAATCCTCTTATAATCGCTTACCAGGCACCCTGCTTGTTCAATTCACTCCTTGGATTCGCATAACGCATAGCATACTTTGACGCTCTTCCGCCTGCTAGCTGGGTTTAGTTATCGATTGCCGGAGGAAGAAAGAAAAGAAAGAGAAAAGGAATAAAAAAACACCCCTTGGTTGATTGAAGGACGGCTTTTGCGCAATACATCGACCACAACCAAAAAGCGAAGGGCTTTGATACTTCACGACCGTTTTACTCTTCTCAAAAGAAAGAGACCTGCGCCGATAATCATGTATTCCTGCGTCAACTACCCCCGCGGATGCCGTGGCCGTGTCAACATTGACGGAGCCAAATGCGCTACTTGTGTGGTATGTCCTTGTATTGCGATTTGCTCTTTGGATATATCAAAGCTAACATATACCTGACAGGCCTCCAACCTGCGCCGTCCTGCTTCTCCATCTCCATTTGGTTCTGCATTCCGCTCTCAGCCAGCCTACCGACGGGCGTGGCTGGACGAGAAGAACGAGGATGATAAGAACTAATTTTGCTTCTCTCTATCTCTCTCCTTTTTGAACATCAACCACGGGAAAAAAAGCATTCATCTACGAAACTTGACTTTGGGACTGGATTCCGCATACAACAACCAAACAAACCACCACACTCCTTACATACACATGCCTGGGTGCAACCATTCAACCAAAAAAGAAGACCAAGAAAAGGAAAAAAGAGAAAAGAAAAGAAATAAAAAAATCCCAAAAAAGAAAGTGTTTACAAAAAAAAAAAAAAAAAAAGCAAACCTGCCGTCCTGTGAATGGCCTTTCACTTTCAACATTTGGACATCGCACGCATCTCTTTCAAGGCGGCCGCCCTCTGGTCTAGGGACCCCCTACCTTTGGCTTCTACTTCTTTTTCTCGATGCCCGCGTCTCTTCCACATGTTTGATTCACCTCTGGATTGGACTGCTGCCGGCTTCTCCCCGTTTATTTTCCTTTCTTATCATCGATACCGTACGACTGTTTATATGCCGAGCTGAACTGCATCTGGAGGCTATTGTGTTTTGCATTTTTTAGCAGATTGGATTTCTCTGGTTTTTACCCTCTTGTCTCCTTTCTTGTCGTTCTGGATTAATCATCCTTTTTTTTTGTATTGGTTTTTTTTTTTACTGTTATATATCGGTTTTTTTTTTCTCCATCTTTTATTATAGCAACATACCCTTCTTGCATCTTCTTATTGCCTCCATTCATCTTACCTCCCGCCGCTTATCTTGTTATTATGATTACTCGACTTCTGTTAAATTACAATTACGAGGCCAGCAACGACAAGGCAAAAATGAACCGGGCGCTCAGCTTGGCCTCCGTCTTCCTCTGAATACTTCTCAACAGTCTCCAGTCTCCAGTCTCCACCAGCTTGCCAGCCCAACACACACTGAATTCGATTGGAAAGCAACAGGGTCTGAAAAAAAGAAAATACAGGGCAAAACGTATTTTGGGTTCGGCGGTTTCAGGGGGTGGCAAAGGGGATGATTCCTTGATACAAAATCGATACATCTCGACCTCTCGCCTTTTTCGACATGCGAACAAGTTGCAAAAAAAGAAGCTGAAAGTCCGACCCAAGTGGAGGTTTTTCTCGTATGCTCAAACAAAGAATCAAGAGAAGTGCCACCGGCGTCAGCTATCCCGTTGGTTTTACGCCTGTTCGTTGGCTTTAACATGGTCGCCTCTTTATCTGCCTTTATTTATCTGCCTTTTATTTTGCTGCCTTATTCGACTTGGTATTTTTATAGACTTGTTCTACGCCTCTTCTCGACCCTGCAACCTGTCGCTAGTTAGTAGTCCGTTGCGTGGCCCTGTTGGCTTGATTTTGGCTTAATCTGCTTTGCTCAATATTCATGACGTAAATGATTGGTATAAGATTAGCTAGGGGAACATATCTATTGGCGATTATTCGCCTTGGTTAATTTCCTCGACACAATGCCCTCTGTATTGCGATCATCAAAGCGCCGAGGATAGTTATAATCTAAGCAACCTGGCCTTGATAGTTCGGCGAAATGGACATATGGAGTAAGTTGGATTCATCCTGGACCCAAAATCCTCTCCGCTGGTAAATGCTAGCCTGTGAGTGGCATCTCCGCAAGGGACAAGGGCCTTTTTCCCTTCTTTCTTTTTCTTTCGCCTCCAGATCTTCAACGAGTGCTGCTGCGTGACATCATACTGGGCGTTCGGGCGGCTGCTTATATTTCTTGGTGTTGTTGACCCTATATTTCTTCCAGGGGTTGGGCTACCCCCTCCTCTCCCATCCCAATATACCAATATTCGTCTGGGTGCCGGAGCGTTGAACGGCTGTCTATTATCGAAAGACTGAGACCCTTTATGCCATACATAGCTGGTTACTCCATTGTGGGTAGCAGCCAGTAGCTGGCGTTCATGAACAAGGTTGATCATGGAGATAGGCGTCGCAAAACTATACCAGTCAAAAGTGCTCTCTTCCCTGATTTTTTTGTATTATTATTATTTGGCTTCGTGATAATAAATGAATAATAATAATAAACGTACAGGGCAAACGCTTCGACGCCTTCATGAGCTTTCGATGGTGATGCCTTGTTTTTTTTTTTTTTTTTTTTTTTCGCTTAGATCCCTAAGAGCGCCACGACGACCGTTGAACCGACAGCTCGACACACCCTTGGCCCTATCCACTAACTGGTCCGGTTTGTTAGCTGCAGCTGAGCTTCGCCGGGTCTGTGTAAATATAATAATATGAATGGGGAGCTTCTCCTTGCTCTGAATAAAATAACGGATTACTCCGTAGTCTGCAGAATATCATATGTGAAGCATGTTTTAGGCATGTTTAGGGCTGCATTGCTGCGCGACTATGGCAAGGTGAAACAAGGCCTAAAGCGTTCTGATGGATCCCATCGTTGACGCTATTTAGTTTTAGATGGAATATGCTCTCAGATTGATTGAGTGGGTGAGTGAAGATGCTGTCGATTCCCTCGTGATGATCGATACTATCGAGCCCAATGCGCTAGGGGGCGGCGGGTAGAAGATAGTATTTTAACCACGGAGTAGCGCTAACACTCTGGTCCATTATGGAATTCCAAGTATCTCTTCACATACCCACTTTGCGGTGCGAGTATGAAGGCTAACTCCCTCCTCGTCCCGCTGCTCCCCGCCCGCCGATAGATGGGGGCGGGGATGGGTCAATCTTCCAAGCGCTTCAAATACAACAAGCTGATCCCTCATATATACATCAACTGCCTTCTTCGGCATGATTATCCGTTTGCCCTGCCCCTGGTCTCCTGGATGGCAATCAAATTCATCCATTAGGTCTGTCACGCATTTATCAATCATGCCCTTCATTCTCAGAAGGATCTTCCCACTGTCTGCACTGGATCTAGCAGACCCTTTCCCAGCCTTCTTCCCTGGCTTGGAATCGCTCCTGCTTGGCCCATGGTGGAATGACGAATAAAGTGCGTCTCTCCCCAGCCGGAATCCCGTCGATGTGTGGGCGACTAGGAGGATATAGGTCTGTGAGTAGTGGGACGTTGCCTCTGATGTATGCAGATTAACAACCACGTCACCAATATTAATACGATGTGACTGCATCTCATCGGCCTCTGCATCGTCGATCTCTGGTGTGGCTGGTAACACGCTTTGTTCCCTGTTGACCTGGCGATTGAGCTCTCTGGATAACGTCCTGATAGTTTCCAGCTGGATATATTCTCGAGCCGTTTGAGGTGGTCCTTGCTTCATGTTACAGGCATCATCACCCATACACGCTGCTTGATCCCCGGCGTTACTAAGGTACTCGTCTCCGTCCTCCGAAGATTCCTGCTCACGATACGGATTTCGGACCCCGGGTGCGCCATGGCAACGAACTGCCTTCTTTTGCAACTTCTTGTCCCTGTTGCGGCCCTTGGCCGACTTTGCAGAAAGTTCCTTTAGAAGGTTCCGTGCAAGGGTATCAGGTGCGAGGATTGTCACATCTATCTGCGTGATAAATCCTTTGTCAAACGCATCCAGCTCGATGCTTGGGAATACTACAGGGTGTGTTTCGGCCTGAGCTCTGCCACTGTCGTGCGACGGTGATGATAAAGTGTCAGACCTAGGCGGCGTCCCATTTGCCGATAAGGGTGAGATAACCAACGACACTGCCCCTACTTCTACCCATTGGCCTGTGGCCCAGCCGCGTTTCTTCAGTTCCATGGATAAAGGGGGGAGCCCAAATTTCGCGAAATTTGGAATCAACACTTGGGATATATAATCGTACGACGGGGAGAATGACACATGCGTGCCGCCTGTGATATTTACCCGTATTTCTTTTGGGTGCTCCCGTGCCGTGTCTGAAGTGCTAGCATCGGCTTCTGTCGTCGGTGTGCATGCGCCGGCAAACAAAAGGTACGGATAGAGCGCTTGGAATATTAAGAAGACCGAGCCCGGTGTTGATAGGCGTATGTCATACTCTGATTTGACTGTGACACGCGGTGACGAGTACAGAGAAGTGAGTGATAGCTGCTGTAAAGACGCCGCCGACTTTCTCAGGTCTGAATTCGCATTGCTGTCTTCCCGCTTGGTCTGCAAACTGCTCCTCCCGGTCTCCTGTCCCCTTGGGTAGATAGAGAGTTCATGATGTCCAACCTGGTTCCCCACCGCGGTCCCTCCACAGACATCAAGCAAGAATTTTATGGCCGCACAGTGAGAGGCCTTCAGCCCCTTGGAGCCGCTTCGGTTCGCGCGTATGCGGCTGATACTCAGCGGTTTTCCGGTCAAAGCTGATAGGGCGGCAGCGATGCGCACGAGTTGGCCGCCGCCTTCGAGCGTGCTGCCGTCTAGATGAAGCATGACGGGTCTGGTATCTTTTTGCTGTTGATCTCAAAATCTGTTCTATATCAACGGGCGCCTTCGCCTTCGTTGCCGGCCCTTTTTATGATGGTCTTCGAGGTGGCTGGGGTGAGTCATCACAGCGAGATGGAATGACTCGAAATGCAGTTCGCTCACCTGTTAGCCGCCAGGGATCGTCTGTTCTGTGGCCAATTCCTCACCGCTACTGCACTCATTTTCAATGAAGGGCACTTGTTATTGGCCAGATCTACGACAAGCATTGCAGTCCAGAGCTGTGGCTCGTTGATATACCCCATGTCTGAAGCACTGAGGCTTGCAGGCAGGCAGCCATGGTCAAGGGGAGAAGGAGACCCGTGCACGGAAGGGTGTAGGACTGGAAGCCCACGTCCAAAGGTCCTGGTCAACAGGCAATGCCTGTAGAGAAAGGACTTAGCTATCCTGTTCACTCAGATAGTGTGATTTTATGCCAGGATAGGGTGCGATGGCGGCATGCCCGGTGAAAAGATCGTTCGCCATGTGCGAAGATGTTATGGACGAGGCCTACAACAAGCGCTCCAGGGGCCGTCCACCTAGCAAATCTACAACGAAGTCCCCTCGACAAAAGGCATCTGTCAAATCACTTGCAGAGGAGAGACCTTCGTTGGCGGCCGGTGGGGACCCGATCGATGATCGTGTTCTCGACCGCATCAAGAAATGTCTTAAGCGCGCAAACCATGAGAATTCAACGGAGTCTGAGGCAAAGGCGGCCCTCTTTCTGTCGCAAAAGTTGATGACCCAACATAATGTTACCCACGCCGACCTGCTCTCGAAGGAGTCAGACGAGCAAGTGCAGGTTGCAGGAAGCAGTATTGTGGCCATCACTAGCACAAAAGATGGGAGCAACTCTGTACGCAACGAAGGTTTTGTTTTCGATGCTGCTCACGCCATGCAAGAGCTTTTTGACTGTCAATGCTATGCCAGCCGCGAGTTCAACTCAATTGAGTGGACATTCTATGGAATCGCCGAGAACACCGTCGCTGCCGCCAGAGCTTTTGAAATGGTTTACAATCTCATTTCACAATGGGCATTGGCCTACAAAGGCGTGTCAGCCAGGTTTAGCTATGCCTGTGGAGTCGCTTCCGGTTTGCGAAGCATGGCATATGAAGAAAAATGTCAGGAAGCAGAGATGGCTCGAAAAGCAGAGCTAGAAACCCTGAATGAGCGCATTAGAGAAGACGAACGTCAACGCCAGGAAGAACTGGCCAGACTGAATCCCGTTCAAAGCGAATTCGGACCTATTAGCGATGACCAGTTGTCTTCACAATCAATGGTGCTGAGTCCCACGGGTTTGGGCAATCCGGGAACTACTCCCAAGACTAACAACGGGGACGGAGACGGGGACGCTAGCAGCGATGACGAGGAAGCAGGATGCGGTTTTACGGTTGAGCCGGATTTCAAGGAAGCGGATGGTGATTTGCTCGATCCCACCGCAGATTTGGACGAGGAGATTGGCAGGCTTCTGAAACGCGAAGCATCACCATTTATTAGCTTGGATGGTATAAAGTCAGAGGAGGAAAAGCAATCGCATTCCTCAACCAGTGTGGACACGGCTATGCCTAGGGATATTCCAGTGGCTAGTGTTCCTGCGGCGAGCCCGTGGAAATCCGAGATGCAACTTATTCGGTTCCGCCAAACGTCAAAGAAAGTAGGGGACGACTATCTGAAGCAACAAAATATCCGGTTATGCACGACAGCACGGCGTTACACAGATGTCAGAGATGCTTCGGCCTATCGCCAGGGCTTGAAAGACAGTAACAAGGTCGATGTCCGACGCAGAAGGCTTGAGTAAGTTCGGGAACCTCACTTTGGAGCCTCATGTACATCTTCCTGTCCAGAGCATTTTTCGGTTTTAATTATTTATTTTATTAATTCCGGGTATTTAGTTGAATATATTTCTATTTGCGAATCAAACAAGCCCGCATTCAGTAAAGGCATAGCTAGTCGTCCTCGGTGACTTGTTCAAAGCCGAGATTAACTCGTAGGAAAATACTGGACAACGTGAAGCGGATTGAATATCTCTATCAAACGCCAAAACTAATATCATCCTGTAGCCAGAAGCCCCCCAGGCAAGATAGCTACAACAACCAATAAGCTGACAGCGGAGAGTGTAAGAAAGTCTCAAGGAGCTGTGGAAGCTAGTTAGTTACCCGAGTAACCGATAATCACCACAGCAAATAGAAAACCGACCACTCCATTACGGCTGCCCCCAAGCCAGGGAGTCTATCAACCAGGCAGCAGAATATAAGTATCTATTTGTCCAACCGTGGCGGGTGGCTTGATGTTTCAAACAGAAGGGATAAGATGCCATTCCTCCGCAGATAGCGCTGGCAAACACGAAACACCATAACCATGTCTTGTCTAAACAAAGGCTGAAGGCCTCCATGCGTTTCTCCTGTTCTCCTAGGTGCCGCCCGTGCGTACGTTGCGTCGCATGTATATCCTCAAAAGATGCACAAATTATCCTTTTCGTATGCCAGTATAAACGTTGTGGAGCGGCTGATAATAAGGTTGGCAGTTAGGATGTGTGTAAATACTTTGCCGTCCCAAGGATTGGTAAGTAGCTTGAACTCAATCCTTGTAAAAGCGACTTGTTTGACAAGGGGTGAAACGTTTGGAGCGGTTTGGAAATTAAATATGTGGAGTCGCGTTTTGAAAACCCTCTGGAGTCTCCATAGCATCCAGGCCGCGAGGTAGAATGGGGTCCTGAACTCGGGCCAAAGCATGTATGTATCATACGTTCGGTTTGCTTCTTGGGCAGGCCACTTGTCCTTACTGACATTAATTATTCAGCTGCTGGTTCTTAATATAGGGAGACTAAAGTAACCAGATGAATTTGATAAATGGGGACCATAGAAAATGCAACCATAAATTGCAAGGTATTGCGGGCATGCAGAAAAAGGAGGGGCTTGATTTAAGAGTATGTTCTGGTAGCCGATCCAGTAGCCGGTTATATGTCTTTTTATTAATATCTGAGCAGGCGTCCAAGAATGGGTAAGGTTACACCTCTTCTCACGGAATTAGAGGTATTATTCGAGACCATACAGGGTGAAGTACCCGGCGGCAAGCCCCAAAATCGTTGCTAATATCAAACCGTTGCCCTCCCAAGTTAGAGCTAGATAGGCCATAGTTCCTACGGCAATTTCCTTCTTTCTGGCAATTAAACGCTTGCTTTGCCAATCATGATCAATTTCAAAAGGGGGGGAGATCGCAGAGTCCTGGAGGGCGGGCGGAGTCTTGAGAGGGACTGAAAGAGATATCACAACAGCACGGTGATCTGAAGTCTGGAAAAGAGGCAGTAGGCTGTAATGATGGACCTGGACTTTGCGAGACTCATCTCCTGGGAATGGATTTTCTAGGTATAGAATGCGATCACACCAGCTGGGCCACCGGTTTTTAGCCCACTTGAACCCCTCCTCAGGATGGTGCAGACTACCCTCTCGGGCTTCCAGAGAGTATTTGTAGGACGGAGGGAATGTAATAGGCTGTTCCGAGAGATGATGCATAGTTCTGTTTGCTAGTCGCTCTCTGGTGAGTTGGTCATGAGCGAGCAGGTGTATATAATGGTTCCTACTGCTTGTGTCGTTTGTGGGTTGGGGAAACGCAGACATATCGCCAGGTTGAGGGTCTCTATGTGATGTGCGATAGTTAAAGTCCCCGGCTACAAATAGATACGTGTTCGGCGAGTACATTCCACTGCCCCTTTCCGCCCCGTGATAGCTTGGGATTAAAGGTGTTCCCTCTTCGCCATATTGTCGATGTTGACGCCCCGATTGACCCGCCACATCGCAACCAGTAAAGACAAGTCTCTGACATATATCTTTCCAATCCTGATTTCTCCGGTCTATTGCACTTTCGTCTGGAGCAAGATGCAATGAGACAAACGTTAAGGGAAGCTGGTCCTCACTGTCATAGTCCACTTGGTACCCTATTCTTGCTCCAACAGCGCCTTTGTTGCCAGCCTGGTGGACTCCAACGCCAACCTCTGCTTCATCTTTCCATGCTATGCGGTCAACTTGATCATCTCGAATGAATACCATGATGGCGGTCATCCCCACACTCTTCGTCATGACATTCTGGTATCGCTGATCCTCAGGTGTCGCCAGGTCAACAGCCAGTCTAAACGCATCAAAATACCATTCGAGAAATGGTCCGCCAAGAAACGCATACGCGATGGGTGCGATTTCTTGCAGCGACAAGACCAAGACCTCTGGATAACTGACTGGATCGGAGTCCTTTGGAAGGCCATCAAAGAGGTGAGAAGCAAATATCCGGGTATCAATGGTGTTTCTCGCACAGTTGAATGTCAGAATGTATGTATTCAGCCACGACTTTGAAGTCAGCATCGTCGCAGCGCAAAAAACACAGGCAAGACGACCACTTTGCCGGGCTGGATGGTCCGTTATGACTCTGCACGTCGTCCATCTGCTGGTTGGGCGTTGGAGCGGAGGATTCGCCGACTTTTATATCCTGGACGCTCCATCGAGGATTTCGGAATGGTCACGTGTCAGCGGCAATCTCCACGCGGAGACGCTTCGAGAGCGGAAAACAGTAAACAAAAATTAACCCTGGTTCAAGGGCTTTCGAGAAGCAAGCAAGCCGGTGGCGGTGAAGTCGGTGGCTTCTTCCTTGGCCGGGATGGCTAGTTACCCCTAGCTACTCGGCACTGACCAGTTTCATGAACTAGGTAACTAGTTAGTTTTTATTCGGACAGACTTGCAGAACTGGGACTGGACAAGCATAACTACATACCCCAACCCGGAATATATGCATCTCAGGGATGGCCCCTTTCACGAATTCCCCAGCCAGACCCGGGCCACTCCAAAAGGGCTATTCGTCAACTGGAGTCGTTAATGGAAAGGCGGTGTCTTCTTGGCCCCCTGAGGCCGAATAAAGCCGTCGCCTTTGAAATATAGCTAGGCTATCAACAGGCTGAATACCAAAGCATTATTCAATTCTCCGATATACGGCTACCAAGAAGCTGGGCTTTAGATGACAGCGATGATGAGACGGCACTTTGCCCTCCTGTCGGCTAATCACTGCCTGAGTTTTCACCTGTCAGTCTACTTTGAGATGATTGACCCAGTCTTCATCTAAATCCGATGCAGGTCTCCTTAAGGATTTTCATTATCCTTATTGGGCGGGATAATAGTAGCCTAGAAGGAAAAACAGATCATAACACAATCCAATTTCGGTTGAGAGCGTGCTCCTATCTGACCAAAGCCCTGACTGTGACCATCCGTCCTGCAAGGCTTGGGCTAAGCCGAAGTGTCGTTCGAGTTGTCTGTTAACTTTCACAGGCATTTAATTCTTATACTTGCACCTCCGATATAGGAAATAAAAGCTCGAATATTGAAGAATCACCTGCTTACATTTCTAGGCAGCTCCCGCCGGAATTTGAAAAGCACGCCGATCGCGCATCGCGCATATGTTCCTCTGCGCCGGAGTGGTGTATCATTAACCGTTAGTTTTGATTTTCAAATATTGACCTTGCCTTATCTTCTCTGATATAACCGAATCACACCCTGCATTTGCTAGTTATTCATGCAGGTCCTCTTAACTCACGATCGTTGGCTCCACCATACAATATTGACATACTGGAGAGGTTGATTATTTCATTACCTTGGAGGAGGTGGTGAGAGTTTGTTGAACATCTATGCATATTCCGGGCCTCCTCAATGGTGACCTGCAGGTTTTCATACATACATATATAATACTTTGACCAGCGGGAAATTCAGCTATAAATCGGCTATAGATCTACTCTACAAAGGGGGATGAACGTTTATCGAGGTCAACCTAACAGGTAAAATACCTCCCTTCTACGCAAGACAGAGCCGTTTCACATTACAAGCTGTGATTGCCGATAAAATCCCATGTTGTCAAAAAGGAAATCTATTGATTTTGAGATTATAACATTAAAACTAACCTCCACCGTACAGACAGTCTAGCCTGCCTTCCTCCCCTGTATATCTATCATAGAGTGCCCTAGTTCATTCATTAAAATTGACAAAGCCTTTTGTCTGATATGAGGAAAAGGAATCAAGGAACTCCAAAACATCTAAACATGCGATAAGGCAAGACTGGGTAAATGGAGAAAATTTGAATGGGAAGACGTGAGATGTGTGAATAAAAAGGAAAAATACCCCGGTAAAAAATAAAAAATACTTTTGAGAGACGAAGGAAAAGGTGGTGGGAAAAAGGCGTTGATTCGGTTAACGAAGTAATCTACTTCTTCACCAGTTTATTACTCGATTTGGAAAAAATTCATCGATAAGTTCGAGGTAGTAGGGCTGTGAATAGATTAGTAGTTAGAACAAGGGGCAAATATGGTAGTTCTCCAAAGCTCAAAGAGCGGTAGACATACCTTGAGATCTTCGATATTTGGGATCTTATCACTCTTACTGTATAGATCGTACGGATTGAACTCCTGCACGGCCTTGAGCATTTGATGGTCATGCTCGTTCATGAGTTCTTTGTAGGCCCCTTCGGTGTGCCATGGATAGCATGAATGGTACCTTATCATGGCCAACGCTTCCTCTGGCAGGGTTGATTGCGTTTTCACAACATTGTAAAGGTATTCGTCATGACCCCATGAGAGCATGACATTGTACATTCCACAGTTCGGTTTGTATATGCCAAACTTCGTGCTATAAACCTCATGAGTCGAATCCGGGTTGTTGGCGAATGTCTCTGGATATATGATTCGTTCGTCGAATGCGCAGCCAACTGGAAAGGTATCCCCAACAACGTCCCACTGACCCTGAGCCCCGAAGAAGAATAGAAGCTTTCCCAGGTCATGGATAAGGCCGACTAGCTGCATCCATCGTGGTTTTCCATCATGCCTAATGGCCTCTGCTGACTGAAGTAGATGGTGAATTTGCGAGAGTGAAATATCTGGGTCTGACTCATCGATAAGGGTGTCGAGTTTCTCAATTGCTTCCCAGACGGTCATGCGCGCGCGGACTTTCGACTGGAACTGTCGTCTTGCTTCAATGTTGTACGCCACTGTTTGCTTCTCGTGTTGCTCTCGGTAAAATTCCTTGACCCTCTCGCAAGCTTTGTCGTATTGTCGAAAGTTCGATTTATCTTTCTCCTTGTTGAGATGTGGTGCCTGTGAACCGGACTTGTCTATCTTTGCCTTCATGATATTGACTAGGTCGACATCGTCCGATATTTGTTCCAACAGATGACTATCAGGTACTGAGCATGGCTCCGCGTCCACAAGTTTCCCAGGCGCCATTGGTGGTGGAATGTGTGAGTGCTAAAGGGAAGTTGGCAAGAACGTTGGACTCGAAGGGGTATATCAAAGTAGAAGGGGAATGATATGAGGCTTAGGGAGGGGGGATTAAGGAGGTATTTGTACAATTTCACGAACAATAGATGAATTGCCTTGAGTTTAGTAAAAAGGGCCCTAGGTCCACGGGGTAATAGCTCCTTGATATAGACTTGCAGGTCCTTAGTTCCCGATACTCCCGTAGACGGAAGGCAACGCACTCCTGAACCCGAGGAAAATTTAGTTATCAAGGGATAAAAGTACTTGTATTACACGCGTCGTTGCAGCCGAGCTCATGACCCTTTGTGGAACAGGTTTTGAAAGGCCCTTAGGGAGAAGAGGTTGAGAATTGGATGTGTTTTTTTGGGGCGGGTCTTCCGGGTATGTCAAGTATATCAACAGGTGACGGGGAAACGTGTTTGTAAAAACAACTTCTCTCTGGAAAGAAGGCTGCAGAATTATAATTCTGTCTGGTGAGGAAGGATAAGCACAGCACTTTAAATTCGCACATCATTCGGCGTACCTATTATATGAATATATAGATTATCGCACGCCTCGCCTTGCCTTTTTTTAACCTTTATTTTATTTTCTGGATTTCTTTTCTTTTTCCCCTTTTCACTTCTTCTTCTTCTTTTTTTTTTTTTTTTTTTTTTTTTTTTTTTTCAGGACGGGAACATGCAGAAACCTCTCTTGTTCTGCTTAGTCCCTGACATGCAACGGTTATCTTGCATGTAGGTCAAAAAACGGAAGGGTACACAGTCAAGTCAAGAGACTTCAAAAGAAAACAGTTCCCTTGTCAAGGTAATATTGCCTTTTTTAAGGACAATAAGGCGAACAGACCAATGGAAGGTAAGACACATGGAAAGGCCATTGAACCTTGGATCAAGTATAAAAGAGGCAGAACCCTCTTTATAGATCTGAAATAGTTGATATATACCATTTTAAATGGCCCAAGCACAAGGGGAATGAAGGGAAATGGGGGCAGCTGTGTTGGAAAGTACTCGGAAGAAAGTCAGCTTGGACCCCCAAAGCCACATCCGTAAGCCCAGGGTTAGAGTGGGTCGTTCTGCTGTTGAATCTGAGTCCTATCGTCTTGTAAACTAGTCGTCGGACTAGGGAGATGAAAGATTGAGCGTTCTTAGCGTTTGTCCGGTCGAGTTAAAGTGTGCAGAGGTGCAAGACAGCCAACGACCCACTATTCAGGAGGTTTTTCTGTGAGGAATGGTCGGTGAACAAAGCAGTGTGAAAACAACGAAAAGGCGCTCTTCAGTCTGGTCCGCAGCTCTGCAGAAATCAATTCAAGAGGACGTCGGACGGATACTTCGGGTTGTATGTATGTAGATAACGGCAGCCTGCATAAATTGCTTAGTTTTAAAAGAGTTAGACAAATGAGGGAAAGAAGGTAAGGGTCAGAAAGAAAGAAGAAAAGAATAAAAACGGGCGATCGGTGTAACCTAGCTACTCTGGCTTGACATCAAACAGGGAGATGCAGCAGGTACAGCTGGACCCTGAATCGTGAGTGACCTCGGCCCAGCCATGTCCCGATCCTTTTGTTGTAGTTATGCCATTTTGTAGGGCAAGGTGAGTACAACGGGGGCTCGGTTGAATGATTAATAACGGCTAGTAAACATTCAAGCCCAGCACATCTCTCCCTCGAAGTAGCGGTGTTTGAATGTGATAGAGACCATTGCCAAAAGGTCTGGCCTCTTCTCGCTCTCTCCACTCCCCCCCAAAGGTAGTTACTCCATATTTGAGTGGTACTTCCATATTGCTTTCCGATAGAAGTGACACTGTGGTGGTGGTGATCAACAACCTCACAACTCCACCTGAAAAAAAGGGCCAGTAGCATTTCTGGAGAATAGATATCAAGTCCAATGTTTTCGTAAGGAGATCGTCAAGGAACTACCCCAACGAGCCCAAACTGAATGACAAAGCAGGGCGTAGCTAGTCGAGTAGAATTCGTTTGCTTTTGATATATTTGGCAGTTTTGACGGGCCTGGCCACTTTTGACACGGATAAAGTGACGTCTCTATTTTAAGAAGACAGATTAGGGGGAAAAGGAATAAAATAGAATGGAAAACGGAAACGGGCCGTCCGAATTGTTGGATTAGACACCAGGAAGTCCTTTTTTCCTTCACCCAGTCTTCTATTCGTATCTTTGCAGAACTTGATTGTCGGTTGTGTTTTGAACTAACACTGACCCGAGTATTCGGGAGGACGAAAAAAAAAAGAGACTTTGATACATATCAAGTTCAGCTCCCACAAAAAGAGCATCGAAGAGCGAAAAAAAAATAATAAAATAAGAAATAATGGTAAGGACGATTGATCCGTTTGCTGTTCTTGCTGTCTCGAACGATGATTTTCAGTTGATATTCCCTCGACTATCATCCACACGGGCGCCTTCGGCGGCGCATTTGAGGTTGGGAGATGGATGAGATAAACATGAAACTGAAGGTAAAATGTGCCTCAAAATCTGTGCGAAACCAATAAGGGTGTAGAAGTGCTTCCCATCGTCCATCCAGGGGCTTTTTGGCGTAGCCACGAATAATTTTTTTTAGACGAGTTTAGTTAGCAAGCCCTGTTTTTGTTTCCTTTCTGTGAGAGCGATCGAGGGGAAGAAGCTTTTGCGGCGGAGATACTCCATAGTCTGCAGCCTTTCTACATTGAGGCGTTTGTAGAACAAACGCCGCTGGAAATGTGGCTGGAGGCAGACCGGCCCAAAGGGCTCAAGGGGCTGCACGAGCGACTAGTTGATAAGTTACGGCACGGAGACTTGGTGTTTTGTCCCAAGGGAATCTTGCATCAACAGCAAGCGGAAGCCGTTTTGAGGATCTCTCGGGGTCGCAACTAACTAATGGTATGGATAATGCAGAGAAATATAGGAACTGGATTCAGTCAAGGATGATAACCAGTGAGCATGAGACGTCCAGGGGGGGGAGCAACAGATCGCTAATGAACCTTATAATCGATAACCAGCAAATGTCTTGCCTGCTCTGACCAACTAGAGGATGGGGTAAATCATCCAAGTCGATTCATCTGATATCCCGAAGTCCTGTGGCTGCTGATGGAGTTGCAGAAGCTCAGAGTATATCCAACTTCCTACTCCAGCAGTTAACTAACTGCCAGGCATCCCATAGAACCGACAGTCTTGTGGCTGTATCTTAGCGGGCCTCCGCTGGATCCTTGCTCTGCACCTCGTGGCTGTCTGTGCGGTCAATGCAATTCTTCTTCACTTCTATGGTTGATCTGATGAACTGGATAACGTCTCCTTGCTAGGCAGTTATACGCCTAATTGCTGAGTGACACTATGTGTACTTAAAACACACTTTGACACTCTTCTGCTCAGCGGTTTCATAGTAATATCGGCGTATACCACGTGACTGAAATATATGGACTGGAACCTTGTTTGTTTGGTGGTGGTGCTTGCTGATTAGTGAACTACGCGAGTACATCACGATACCCGAAGCGACGAAGTTCTTTCCAACTAACCGCCATCCCCATTCACCTCTTCCGTTATTTCGGTCTCGACCTGTTGTTGCCGACTATGGACTCCCAGACTCCCCATATCCTAGCCACCGAGCTTCTCAACGTCGAGCGGAACGAACTCTTGAATGAGCTTGACAAGCTCTTCAACGAAGAAGACGTCTCTCGTGAGCTCTGGGCGTTTCTCTGGATCTCGGACATAGACAACTTGAAGAAGATTGTTTATGAAATGAAAACTGATCCTCGCCTGAGAGGCGACTATGAGCTTAGCATTGAGCGAACGTTGGTAGTAAAAAATTGTGAGTTTTAAGCCTGACTCGAAGCGCATACTAGCATTCTCTTCGATTTACGGTAGGGGGAGGTAGATACTAACAGCTATTATTATGCTAGGGCTCCAAAAGAGCCGTTCATCTTCTACAATGTCAACGCCCACCGGTTCGCAGAAATCGTCACCCGCCAGATTACCATCACGTAGTCCAGGCGGACTCAAACGCAAACTGGGTGGTGAACTGATCGAAGCTAGATCAAAATCTGAGGCTGAGAATGTTTGTCAATCTTCACTATAAATTTGGTTGTCGCTATATTGACCAGAAGCGCCACAGTGCTGCAAACGTGACAACGAACAATGCATAATCACCAAGGCCGGAGCTCCCGTTGAAGCCGCCCATATCTTCCCATTCTCGATGCGCCATCTCAAGTCTGACGATGCAGTTGGCAAGTATTATAACATCTGGAAAACTCTAAAATTCTTCTGGCCAGAAGAAACAGTAAATGCATGGTTCGAAGCAGTTAGAGAAACCACGGAAACACCGCGCAATTTGCTTTGTCTTTCTCCAAGCGCTCACAGCTACCACGGAAAGTCATACTTTGCCTTGAAACCGATCGAAATGAACGAGGACCAGACGGAGCTTACCCTCCAGTTTTTCTGGCTACCGCGTGCAAATAATCCCCCGATGATGAGGCTATCTACGCGACCTAACTTGCCTTCAATTGGGGATGTTAGAGACGTTGGTGACGAAGGATCCAATAAAGTTAAATTGTTTAACGTCTACACCGACAAGCCTATTTTCAGCGGCGACCTTATCTTAATGAAGACCGCGAATCCTGAAGAACTGCCGCTGCCAGATGTTGCACTACTTGAAATGCAATGGGTGCTCAACGTTGTTGCTGCCATGTCTGCTGGAGACGAACCCACTGATACCGATTACTCCGATGATGATGACTACCTCGACCCTATTATGGACGAGACTATGTCACAAATTTCACTTTCACCTCCCCGTTGCTTGAAGTCTCAGAAGCTCGAGGGTGAGCATCTTTACGACAGCACCCAGCCGTCCCTAACCACCCTCTAATCTTGATCCAACTTTCCCCTCCTGATGTTCGGCGCATGTGCCCGAGTATTATTACGACGTTGATGAGTCCATGATTATGTCTTATTACTGTATAATATTATTATGTATAACATTCTTCTCCGGTTGTTAGAATATCCAACAACGTCAAGTTCAAAGGCGAAACTAACAAGCAACTCAAGGCTCAAATCCTATAGATGATTTAGTTAGGATAATCCATACATACTTACATACTACCGTCAGCTAAGTAGAGGCTGACTTTGATGCGTAGAATGACAATCATACCACCTCATCGTTATAGAGAAATGGTAGCATATTCGGCTCATGATCAAGTTCGATACTACGAGGTCCGAATTCCATCCAATACGGGCTACCTTAACCAGATCGGCACCAGTAGTACCTGTACCTAGTATCATTTAAATTGCCGTAAAGTTCCTTCCAATTCCGGCAATAGCCACCCGGAATGGAATAATAAATATCCGAGGGTCAGGCTTACCTAATTCTGCCGTTTCCTGATTGGTAGGCGGTGGCGTCAGGCCCTCGCGATCTTCAAAGCGGGAGAAAAAAGAAGAGCAAAAAAAAAGAACATCCAACTTCAACTTCAACTCCAACGTCACTATATCCTGTTCTTCTTCTCTCTTCTCCTCCGCGCGCTGTCGTATTAAATACCTTGGTATACGCCAATTCAACGGCCTTGTTGGCTTGTTGGCTGTTTCATCAATTGGCGCCCATTTTTCCGACTCGCAGCGCTGATTCACATTGCGCCTGCAGGATGGCTGAATGCGGGGAACAGACTCCCCACCAACCAAAGCTCCGTCAGTATATACCACTTCCTATACGCCCACTGTGGAGGGTGAACAGCTACTAAATCCCGTAGAGAGAGTGGCATGTCAGCCTGAGAACCCTTTTTCGAAACTGATAACCGACCAATCAATTGCGATTGTCCCTTCGTTCACCCTTGAATCTGGTGTTACACTGTATAATGTTCCTGTGGCATATACAACCAAGGGCAAGCTTTCGCCGACGGGAGATAACGCTCTGGTAGTCTGTCATGCCCTAAGTGGAAGTGCAGATGTCAGTGACTGGTGGGGCCCACTGCTCGGCGGCCCTGGCCAGGCATTTGACGTTACTAGATTCTTCATCATCTGTTTGAACAGTCTGGGTAGCCCATACGGTACGGCTAGTGCAGTCACGTACAAGGATGGTGACAAGTCAAGGGGGTTATATGGACCAGAGTTTCCATTGACCACGATAAGAGACGACGTCAAGTAAGCTAATCATCCACGGGGAGCATAACCTTGAACAGCTAGACTGATAATAACGGTCAATGCAGCCTCCACAAAATTATATTGGATGATCTGGGCGTCCGTCAGATCGCTGCCGTAGTTGGCGGCTCCATGGGTGGAATGCTCACGTTGGAATATGCTTACTTCGGCAAGGATTATGTTCGGTGTATTGTGCCAATCGCGACGTCAAGTCGGCACTCCGCGTGGGGTATAAGTTGGGGTGAAGCACAGAGACAGAGCATCTATAGCGATCCAAAATATGAGGATGGATACTACGCATTCAGTGATCCCCCTGCCACGGGGCTTGGTGCTGCTCGTATGTCAGCGTTGCTGACATACCGTAGCCGAAATTCGTTTGAATCTAGATTTGGCCGGAATGTGCCTGATCCATCGAAACGGCAGAACATTAACGGCACCCAGCGCCTCCCAACTCCGCCCAACGAGCATTGGGCAGTCCATAACGATGGCCATAAGAGCACACGGCCATCCCGGCCGTCAAGTGGAGCTCAGACACCTAAACCACTGACAGAGCTTCAGTTCACTGATCCTCAATTCACGGGTGCAGCTGTATACACCGCGCATGCACCAACTCCTGCATCCCCGGGCTCTGTTGCATCTCTGGAACTATCCAAGCGGCCTGCAACCTACTTCTCTGCCCAATCTTATCTGCGATACCAGGGAGAGAAATTTGTCAAGCGTTTTGACAGCAATTGTTATATTGCAATTACCCGTAAACTGGATACACATGATGTTTCGAGACATCGAGCAGACGAGACGTCTCAGACGCCCGTAAAAGATGCGTTAGCCCAAATACAGCAGCCCGCCCTTGTCCTTGGGATTGAAAGCGATGGCTTGTTCACTTTCGCCGAACAGCAAGAAATCGCCGATGGGATTCCGGATTCACGGCTAAAAAATATTGACAGCCCCGAGGGCCATGACGCTTTCTTGCTGCAGTTCGAGCAGGTGAACAGATACATCCTGGAGTTCTTCAGGGAAGTTTTACCTGACATCATGGCACCTTCAGAAACAGATGCGAATCCTGCTGGTGACCATGTTGGTAAGCTCACGAAAAGTAGCACCTTCGGCGAAGCGGAGGTAGACGACATCACCGCGTGGTGAGAGTATCGACGTCAGTAGCGTCGTAATTGGGTATGCACAGTTTTCTTCTTTCTTATTTTGGCTTTGATATTATCACCGAGCATCCAACTGCTCTACGATTCCCCTTCTATTCTGAATATTCTTTTTGGCATAGGTGGATTTCCTTTTTTTTTTTTTTTTTTTTTTTTTTTTTTTTCAGGATAGTTCCCGTCGATTTGGAGCTTGTCATGATTGAAGCGCACACTATTGCCCCATACAGTCTAGACTTTTATGTATTCAACAACAACACACCTCAGCTGATCTCGCATGATGGACCAACTCTTTCATTCCCTTGTCAACAGTATGGGTTCAGATAATAGCCTCACGTTATCTCCTCGACATCTCTCATCGATATTACATAAACCTGCATGCGATGCCAAATGGCCTGCAATGAAGAGTTTCGCTCTCTATGCAATTACGCAACAAAGGGTTTCCTAAAAATAGCCGGCATATACTTAACTAGGGCTAAATGTGCTTCAAGTTACAACAAGGGCTTCGACCATTTTAACTTGCTGTGCCTTAGCCGCAGAACGCGTATTCAGCATGCGTACACCCAGGCGAAAACCACTTGACCATATTCCTTACAGAAAAACCAACCATCACCGTATTTCCGACTGTGCAGCTTCCTACCAATCCTACACTCTGTTCTGCGTGTCCCATCAGCCATCCGTGATCTATATTATTGCGTCCTGCAGAGGATGCCGGTGGCTCGAGTAAGATTGCCTAGTTGGGTGAGGTCAGCGCGAATACGAGAGACACCAAACAAACTGTGTCTACGAGAGGTAACTAGCATGTAACTAATCTCCCTCATCAGCCTCTCTTGCGAGCAAAGAACCCAAGCAACGGCTAACCTTGAGTAGTTTCTTTGAGAGCCTCGCCTACGGTTGCATGCGCTCGCATCGAATGCGACGGAGTTCCCTGGGTGGATTCGTGCAAGTCATCTCTTCAGCTCTTCTTGTCTCCCTGAAAGACTGGCCAATTGCTGCGGTGTGAGAAGCTGCATAAGTTGCCTAACTAACCAATTAGTTAGTCAACTCGTTAGTGTGAACGACGCTGTTCAAATAAACTTTGCCATCGGCCTGCAAGCTTTTTCTTCGCCAGCCATTCATGGAGCGTTCAGCCTTGCGTCAGGAGTTAGGCCCGCATATACTGCGAGTGCTGTTTAATTTACCACCTGCACATATGGACGCACATATTATTATTGAACTGGGATAGTCGTTATAAATTTAAGTACCCTGTCTCAAATCTACTTAGACATGCTTACTTGCTTACAGGACTCTGGCAGTCACAAAAGAAACAAGCCAGCTTGACGATAGTTAGCTCTACCGTATCCGGAAGATTAAACCTTCCTGCAAATTCGCGCCACAACCATCTGGCATCTTTGACCTCCTGAGCCAGTAAGAAGCGGTTATGAAGCAGGGTGGGAATGACATACCCCATATACGGAGCGTTCCAAAAAAAGACCCGTTCCAACTCCATGTGACCCAGGGTCTTGCTGTAATTAAGCAGCGCGCCATATTCTCGAACAAGTAAAACAGCCTAAATAGAGAGTTTGGGACCTGGAATCTACCGAATAAGGAACCAAGGGGAACCGAAATCTTTCTTACAGGCTGCTCCTTTCTGCGTCCGCTCGGTGGGGACAAGAGAGGCATGCTCTAATCCTTTCACTCTCTAGCCCAAATTCTTCCCCTCGCAGCATGGAAGTTTTTATATATAAGCGGCAGAGGGAGCCTCGTCTCTTGAAGGCCCTGAAGCAGAGCTCAGCGGTTTTCGCGGTTTTGTGACGATGTCTCTTGTGGGCTATCTTTTCGGCAAAAGGAGACTGCTTCGTACTCTACCCTTTCGTCTGCTTGATTTCGTCTGGAATGCCCCCCTTTTAGTTTCTCTTGTTTTACTGTTTCTGTACACCTGTGCGTCCCTGATACATTCGTACAATTCCCTAAACATAGCATTGAGTCGAAACTCCATATCGTTAGACGACCTGCCGCAAGGCTATGTGAAGGCACTCGAAGATGCCATCAGCAAGAATCAGCCAACTTACAATGTCACCCTCCTGAAGGATAAAGACGCGACACCAATACCAAGAATCATACACCGAACTTATAGTACCCCAGAATTTCCGGAAATCTGGAGAGATGCCTATAACTCTTGTCAAGTTCTGCTCCCGGAATATCAGCACTACTTCTGGACCGACGAAAAAGCTCGCGATTTCATTGAGGCCAACTTTAAATGGTTTTTAGCCACGTATGATGGGTATAGATATGGGATTCAGCGGGTGGATGCGCTGCGATATTTCCTACTCTGGCACTATGGTGGAATATACATGGATATGGATATAGGATGTCGACGTGATATTCGCCCACTACTTGATTTCCCGGCATGGGTACCGCGAACATGGCCTTATGGTGTCAGCAACGACTTGATGGCGAGCTCTCCCGGCCATCCGTTGATGATAAAAGCTGCATTAAGCCTTTATGATCACAACTGGTGGTACGTTAGTAAGTATGTAACAGTGTTCTTTACCACAGGGCCGATGTTCTTTAGCGGAATTATCTTGTCGTGGTTCGAAATATTGAAGACGGGTGCAAAAGATGATATAGCCAGTTTCAAGGGGCCACACGGCCTTGCCATATTGCCGTCGCAGCTGTACGACACAACGGAATATACTTTCTTTTCGCATTTCCCTGGATCCACATGGCATGGAAACGACGTTGCAGTCCTTTCATGGCTGTATCATTATCTCTGGATATTCTTCTTGGTGGCTTTTGCCCTGATGATTGTCTCGGTTGTCCTTGGACCAACGAGGCGCGCAAAGAGGCGAATGCCTCGTTTTATGATGAAGCAAGAGCTGGTGTGAACAGGACTCAAAGACGGGATTTGAGCATTCTCAGGGAATGGAGTAATACCCCATCTTCAACCCTAAACTTGGAGGTTCCCCATTCAACACATGACAGAAATGGGTCATTTGCCACATATCAAAGCGCGCCAAATGTCCGATCGAATTGCTGGGAGAAAGCGATGTGCACGCTTTCGTTGCGGGCTTAATAAACTGCGCATCATCAGAGAGACCTTGTCGAATGGAATCGCCTGTGATCATTAAGACGATCGCATGCCCCTAGTTATGAAATTACTGGTGCAGATTCATATGAACGAGAAGTATCGTTCAAGAAGTCGATGGAATCGGGTATCGAAATAATCCTTACAGAGTACTCGTGGCACATATAAGTATTTATGTGATGATCAGCACCATTGCAACCTAGGCACGCATAAACAGGCTGCATCGATGCGCGAAATATTCGAACAGTGCCAGAATGGCGGATTCCGATTCGAGGGATCCCGGAACATATCCTGCATCTGGTGGATAAGGTGGAATGCTTGAGATACACGTTAGGGACATGCTCCCGCAGACTTACAGCATTGCGAGTACCGGAAGGACATCTAACTAATCCTATGGAACAATAAATATGCATGGAGTTCTCCGTATGAAAACGCCTTTTCGTTTGGATGATCCCTTTGTTGCGTGAGGTTCTATGTAATACTTTGAAGTATTTTCTCCATACATGATGTCCAGGGTCTTCTGGATCAGTAACTAACACAACACACTAACCATTAACCCCCAGGCTGGTTCTGAAGATCTAGGACGGAAAGCCGCTGAGTATATTTAAACTCTCATCCCATGCGGATCAAACGTTCCAATAATATCTCGGATCTCAAATTTAATCCAGAGTTTCCTTGCTGTTTTTGTACGCCGCTCCTGCATGATATTTGGCAGGCTGCATCTCTAGAATATCGTCACACAAGAATTGCTCTCTTTTCCAAGTCAATAGATAAGCAACCCTTGCCTTCAATGGTGAAATGAGAAGTGGCTGCTGGAAAGCATAATGACCGGGTCTATCTAGCTTGGTCATTGACTAGTCTAACTATTGAGCATTGGCAATGCGGACAAACAAGTCGGCAACGAACCCTTGTCAGAATGCTTTGAATACGCACATGCGGCCCGAGTTATACGTCTGAGAGCTCTTCTCCTCCCTGCATTACGTCGCAGGGACTCGCAGGGTTAGTCCCTGAGAATATTGCCGAGGCCTTGAACAACCTGCCCAATAGTAGTAGACACGCCTGGCTTGATATCAAGCGTGCCACAAGCAACAGCGGACAACTAACTAGTTCGTTAGTTAACTAGCAATCTTGCATTCAACAGTTGCTACCACTCGGAAAGCGTCTTCGAGCAGCAATGTTCATCTCGTCTCACCCAACCAGTGCCACTTTACAGAAGCCGGGGTCTTCGGAATAAACCGTGCATCTAGCCTCCTTTTTAAGCATGGGACCTGGCCGATCTTTCGTCTGTGGTATGGTTGTCGGTTGCGGTGAACCGTTGGCGTCCTTCCAAGTTCTCGTAACTTCTTACTTGCCTCCATGATAAACCGGTTCTGATAGAAGACCATAGCCGACCAACTCCATATATGCGGGGGAGTGCATGGGCTTGACAGGCGAAGAGGAGATTCCGAGGTAGTTTATTAACTCTATGTGGCGACCATGGCCAAGAGACGCATGGTAAACTGATGTCCTTATCCTTGCGACTTGGAAGAAGAAAGGTGGGATGCGGGCGACTTGCACGGTAGAAGTGCAAGATGTGTGCATATCAGGGTATATATGCCCTGAATCCCCTATACATCCTGTCTGCTTTTCTCGTTTTCTCTTTCCTCGAGGAATTGTCTTTTAGCCCCTGTTTCCGACCCGACCATATCAAAACGTGAACGTGAACAATAATGGGAATATCAGAAAAGCAGCCAGAGACGGAGATGCGAGAGGATGTTGAACGGAATAATGGGCCTGATATCTCAGAGAAGCATGGCAGCGAGGTGAGGTCTACTTCAAGCTCTGAGCCCGATTTCTCTGATATCGACGAGAAGAAGGTGATCAGGAAGATGGACATGCGTCTGATCCCAGCACTAGCACTCCTCTATCTGCTCTCATTCTTGGATAGGGGTAATATTGGAAATGCGAAGATTGAGGGATTGGATGTTGACTTGGGCCTTAAAGGAGGCCAGTTCAATTGGTGCTGTAAGTTTCAATTCCCAATGCAACTGATAACCAGATCGTAACTAAATACCTTGACAGTAACTGTGTTCTTTTTTACATACTCTGTCTTTGAGGTCCCGTCCAATATCCTGTTGAAGAGATTACGCCCTTCACTTTGTAAGTCGGATGCGTTATTATTGATAGGGAGTGAATGCAAGAAGTATAGACATGCTAACTACTGTTTAGATCTACCCTCGATTATGCTTGCATGGGGTACCGTTGTGGTAGGGCAGTGAAACATCAGGATGCATGGTGGTCTATGCTAATATAGAGGTAGACCTTGATGGGGATTGTACAGGATTACAAAGGATTGTTGATTGCTCGGATTTTCCTGGGTGTTGCCGGTAAGCATGTCGGACTTGACTGTACTCTTCACGAGAGCAATGGGAAGGCTGATAAGCACAAACAGAGGCCGGATTATACCCTGGGGTTGCATACTATATCACTATGTGGTATTGCAGACACGAAGTGCAGCTTAGGCAGGCCATGTTTTTCAGTGCTGCCAGCATTGCAGGTGCTTTCTCCGGCCTGTTGGCATTTGCTATTGCAGTGAGTTATTCTCGGATTACTTATCCCGGCCTAGCTGACGAGATATAGAAAATGGACGGGGTGGGAGGGTATCAAGGATGGCGATGGATTTTTATTCTGGAGGGCCTCCTAACCGTTGTTGTGGCAGCTAGCGCATACTTCTTCCTTGAAGACTTCCCCGAGACAGCATCGTTCCTAACTCCCATGGAGCGGGAATTTGTTATTCACCGCCTCAAGTATCAGGGGTCTAGCTCATCGGGGAGGAGAGTAGTCCAGACGGAGGAGTTTAAATGGAAGTACATCAAGGAGGTATTCACAGACTGGCAAGTCTATGCATCACTTTTCGGTATGTCCCTGGTTTCAATTGTATTTTATCCTCGAGTGTTTTTTAGTCAATGCTAACCACGGGGACTCAGTTTGCGTGGGCATCATCTGTCCTCTGTACGGAACCTCACTCTTCTTGCCGAGTATCATCAAAGACCTGGGGTACAAGACCTCAACAGCGCAGCTCCTGACGGTGCCTATATACGTGACTGCAGCAACACTTGCCGTTGTAATCGCCTTCTACTCTGACAGAAGTGGCAAGCGCTCACCCTTTGTCATTGGGTGCATGTGCTTGATTGGCATCGGTTTCATCATCTGTATCTCTGCTGCAGGACGAGGTGTTCCAGGGGTAGTGTATGCAGGTGTTTTCATCGCCATCTGCGGTAAGCTGTGAAGATCCCAAATCAAACCGTATGATGCAACATGCTAACAGACAACCTGCACCCATATAGGCATTTATCCTGCTTTTCCTGGTGCAGTAACATGGCTAGCCAACAATCTTGCAGGCAGCTACAAACGTTCTGCGGGCATGGCATTCCAGATCGGAACAGGCAACATGTCAGGAGGTGAGCCAAAAATTGAGACCCCTTGTCCTTATATGCGTACTCCGTAGCGTTCCTTTTCTTTTTGCTTTTATTAGCAACATGACCGACTAACCCCCCTCCCTTAGCCATGGCGTCCAACTTCTATCGAGCGCTAGACGCACCCAAGTACACACTTGGCCACGCCCTTGAACTTGGGTTCTTGGTTGCTGGAGTGATATCAGCCATCTTCCTGCGTGAGGCCTACAAGCGGGTCAACGCTAAACGAGAGCGAGAGGGAACCCGGGGCCTGAGTGACCAGGAATTGAGCGAGTTAGGCGATAAAGCGCCTACATTCCGCTACACTCTTTAACGCTGGCGTCGAATTGTGTCTAGACGCTCGCTCTAGCCGGGGAAATGCTCTGGAATGGACCCCCTCCTTCCGCCCTAACTAACGACTCCATTGTTATATATGTATATATATAGGCAGGGGGCGCGCGACTATCAAAGAACGGGGAAGAACCACAGGAACAAAGGAGATAGCGTGGGGTCGCTAGCGTTCAAGCCTGTGTACAAACATCGACTCCTATTCGCACGATGCAGGCGAGAAGTTGTGTATCAATAGCGCCGTTAAGGGGTAGGACAGATTGTGATTAACTAGTTAGTTTAACCAGCCCGTTTCTTTCGTGGAACAAGTGGAACAAGCAGCCATCATGTAGATCAGCAGAGGGCCGGCCAGCGATGTACGGAGTACTTACGGAGTACTTTGCAGTCGACCAGTGTTCTTCTCACCTGCGACCCCGTAAACATGT